TGCATTCTCCCCAGACTCAATTTGTTCATGAACTTGACCCTGCTAGTTTTGTGCATTCTTTCTGGACTCTAAAGCTGTTCTTGAACTGGATCCTGCTAGTATATAATGTGCTGCATGTTAATTACACCACTGGGCTGGTGAAAGAAATCCATGCAAAAATAGCATGTGGGTTTGATAAACCATCCTGGAAAATCAAAAACATCTGGTGTTTGCTATAAACATTTTTGAAAGTCTAAACACAAAGCACTAGTCCCAATCATCAATATTTTCAAATAAATTTACTTTGTGTCACAAAAAATAAACCATATGTTTCTGATGTAGCTGAAAAAAAAATAAAAAATTTCACATTATCCATTCAAAACCACATTACAAGCATGTTTTCAAACTAAACACAAAGTTCATTTCAAATAAACTTGGTAGTAGGTATTCTTGCAAAGAACATCCCTTGAAAATGTAAAAATTCATCCTTAAGCGTTAAAAGAATCACATACCTTGGCAATCATTTGGTGATAAACTATTCCTCAATGATTGTATACTGCACTTTATTTTCTGCCAATTGGCTGTACGGCCTTAGTTAGTTTCACCGTGGTAAAATTAGCTTCACTGAAGCACATGTGCTATGCCCCAAGCTGTCTAGCAACCTATGTATTACCAATTTCTAACATCAACTGTAATTTATAAAGGCCAATGTAACTCTTTTCTTTGTAGCTGGGTAACCATTTATGTTTGAGGTGAAGATGTTAATATGGAAATTTTGTGAGCTAGGAAAGAGGATGAACGTTATCATCCTAATTTATAACCTTTCATATAAAGCCAACTGTAAAGGCAACTTCAATTGTTTTATATCTCAGGGCCAGCGCGTAGCAGATGTATGAAATCTGGAGTGTTAGACATAAACTTTTATTACCAAATTATAAATAATTTCTCCCACTTATAATGTTCACCTTTCAAGTTCATCTTGATTAAAATACAAGGGCAGCTTCACACCGATTTCCCTGAATTTTACAACTGAGCGGGGTTTTCTAGAGTTCACAGGGAAGCAGAAACCATCAAAGCGCTTGGGAGACCCTTCTTGCTGGAGATCACACTTCGTGTTCCTCTCATCTGCGATTCCAATCAGGAGGGAAATGCTGGCAAATGGAGCCCTACCCTACGTTTGAACATCTCACACGGTACATCTGAAAGCAAGTGCCCGGGATGTGGTGTACATCCCTTCTTCGTACAAAAATTAAAACCAGGTTGCTTTTCCTATGCAATTTTCTCATCAGTGAAAATTATATTACTCCTCAGAGGACTTTCAGTAATCAGAGAGTGTCTTTTTTTCTCATCTTCTTTAACAAATAATTCCATGTCCAGTAATGAACACTAGGTAGACCACAGTGGCTCAGTGTACCCCAACGTGGGATCTCATAGTCCAGTCTGAAGACCCAAGCAAGGTTCATAGCTATTTCAACAGTTCATATTAGCTATGGTGTTGCTCAAAGAGCCAGCCCGTTTTCCTAGAAGCTTAACTCGATGGCATATATGTTGGAAAGTGTTGGATAATCCAGTTCCATGTTTGTATTTACCACCATCATTGTCATCGTCATCAATCGCACAGTCATGCACATGTTCACAGGGCCTGCTGGGTATTGTACAAAGTAAGCTAGGGATGATAACCCTCTCTTGTGATCAGGAAACATTGAAGGACGTGATTATTTAAAGGTATAGGTGCAAAGAGCTGCACAAGCATGGATCAACACATGTCTAGAGTACACCTTTTACTTTTTTATGTTAGCACCCATCTATTTTAAAAATAATTGCGTCAAGAGGATGAGAAGGTGAGCCACAGACAGGGAAAAAGGGAGTATTACCCAAAACTGAGCAATGACAACAGAATCACTGATTTAAAAAAAAAAAAAAGGGACAGTGGGGTCTGATGCAATAGCCTAGTAGCTACTGCCCTCACTGGGACTCCCATATGAGTGCCAGTTCATTTCCCAGCTGCTCTACTTACCTTCCAGCTCTCTGTTTTTGGTCTGGGAAAGCAGTAGAGGATGACCCAAAGCCTTGGGACTTGGATCCTACATGGGAGATTGGAAGAAGCTCCTAGCTTCTGGCCACTTGGGGAGTGAACCAGCAGATGGAAGATCTTTCTCTCTGTCTCTCTTTCCTTCTGTAAATCTGACTTTCCAGTAAAAATAAATAGATCTTTTTTTTTTTTAATGGGCCAATCACCAGAAGAGACAGCGGAGAAGATGCACAGATGGCAAACAAGCATGTGAAAAGGCTCTCCATATTATATGTCATTAGAGCATTGCGGATTAAGATAACAGGGAGATGGCATTGCACATTTGTTAAAGCGGGTGAATTCCAAAACACTGGAAACAGCATGTTAATGAAGATGAGGAGCAACAGGGATGCAAAACGGAACCTTCACAGTGGAAGACAATTCAGCAGCTTCTTAAACCACAAACATTCTCTGGGTCTGATGTTGTGAAGCAGTAAGATGAGCTACTAACTGCGTGTGATGCTGTGCTTTAGTCTCAGGAGCTCAACTTTCAAACAGCTTACTGTTAATGTGCCTGGAAAGCAGGGGAGGACGGCCCGAGTGTTTGGGCACTGTCACCCACATGGGAGGCCCATTTGTAGTGCCTTGGCTGCTGGCTTCGGCCTGACTCCGCCACCGCTGTTGCAGCCTTGGGGGCAGTGAACCCAAGGACCTCTTTCTATCTTTCCCTCTTTTTGTCACTCTGCCTTTCAAGTAAATCTTTTTAAAAAGTAACTAAAATTAACTTACTCTCACAATTTGATTCAACAATTGCAGACCCTGACGTTTTCCCAAATGAGCTAAAAGCTTCCATGGACATGATAATCTTCACAAGGATGCTGATTGCTGCTTTGTTTGTAATTGCTCAAACTCAGAAGCAACCAAAACGTCCCCCAGTCAATTAAGTAATAAATAAACTATGGCAGGTTGGGCCAATGGAATATTACTTAATGCTTAGAAGAAACGTGTTATCAAGTCACAAAGCACATAGAATTCTTAAAAATGTGTATAGTTAAGAGAAAGCAGTCATTCAGAAAAGGTGGTCCCGTGGGGAGGTACCACCAACTGTATGTGCTGTGACATCAACTCTGTGACATTCTGGGAAAAGCAAAACCATGGAGACAATAAAAAAGATCAGTGTTTGCCAGGGATGGAGCTGGAGGGTATGCATACACAGAACACAGAGAATTTTTAAGGCAGTGAGATTATCCTGTACAATAATATAGTTGTGAATCTATGTCACTATGCATTTATCAAAGACAACAGAAAGTACAACACCAAGAGTAACCCCCCACATGCAAATCATGAATTAGGATGATAGTCAACTGTTAGCAGAGGATCATCAATGACAAAAACTAAATAGGAAAACACAATTAAACTTTGTAAAGTTATTGCTACGCTAATTCCTGGATAAGCTAATGTTTACATTCGGGGCTTTGAAGACAACGCTCTTGATGAACTAGTGTTCAGATAATGTCTCACACATATTTTCCTTGGATGTTGAAAAATACTGTGGGGCAGAAAACTGTGACATATGGAAAAGTTTCCTTCCGAGTTTGTAAAACTCAGAATTCTAAGTCGCAGAAGGGATTCTGGGAGCCACCATGCCTTGGTAGAGACATTGGTTCGTGGACTTTAACCCACTTGTCCTGTTGGGGCCTCACCGTGGAGAAGGCTGCAGCTGTCCTGCAGCTGAAGGGCCCTTGAACTGGACACTTAACCTGGCACACCATGCAATCCACACAACACGGGTCCGAGGGGCTTCTTGGAGTTCCATGGCAAAGAGAAGGCAGCGAGCTGAAAACTGATTTTCTGAGTAATTAAAACAACCAGTGAGGAACGTGGTGCCATGTGATGTCTTTTGGACACAAAGTTTTTAAGGACAAGGCTTTGCATCTGATTGTGTTTGCCGTCTGGGACTCATTCTTCGATTTAAATGGTGTTGTGCTTAAACATTTCTTCTTATTTATGTTCCACATTGCTGGAACTTCAAAACCAGCCCTGCCCATAAATCTGTAACTGGTTTGGTCTTTATCCGCACTGAGCTTTTATAGAAGGATATAAAGAAACCTTTCTTCTTTGCCAAATCACACCCAGTTGTTCTCCACTCAGGAAATCAATCAACGGTTCTTCTGCCTTTAGCTAAGAGGCGGATCACTAGAGGAAAAACTTGTCTTTTTATCTCAGAAAAAAAATTACATATTTTATATCCCTTGACACATGACAGGTTCAGGGATACGGGAGATATTACCCTTTTGTTCACAGTGTGACAAATCCTGAGTAGAATGTGCAGATCTCAGGCTGATGAGGGTGTAACCGCATTGAATCCAAGAAATTCATTGGTTAAGTTTCCATTTTCCTCTTCCTATTAGTAGCAAAAATATTGAGAACTCATGCTCAAGTCCAAATCAAGTTCCCATAGCAGCACTTAAACAAGGCCTGAACACTATTTCCAATTAGAACTAGTTTGTAATATAATTCGATTCATGCCATTATGATTTGCAATTATGCCAGAGCTTTTATTTTCTTTGTATCAGTTAAGACTGCCATGGAAACAATCCTCTTGTTAACAATGACTTGGTCTTCAGACACTCGGTATCCAAAGGTGGATTTAAAGACTTGAGGCTGGTTATTTATTTTTCGTAAATTATTCAAGGATATTTCTGTTTACCTACGTGTCCTCACTGTTTCAGCAGTAAACCACAGTTTCCTATGACTTGAAGGTTTTTCTCCTCACACTTCTGCAAGGAGGTCTTGCTCAGAGGATCTCTGGCCGTATTGTTTGTTTTTGGAGGTCTGTTTCGCTTCAGCGTTCGGCTTTGTGTTCAAAGACGAAGCCTGGCGCTTTCACCCAATTGCACCAATTTTGCCGTCAAACACGGACTCTCAGATCTGCGCGCGCCGGCGAGGTCTGCCCTTTTCGGTCGCCGCGGGCTCCCGTAGCCGAGAAAGTCCTGATTGGCTGCAGCCTGGAAGTGCCGCGGCCTGGGCGCTTTCGGTTTTCGCTGAGAGCGTCGGTGGAGGCCGGGCTGGTGCGGCGCCCGCCGTGCGCGATCGGGACCCGGCGGCGAGGTGAGCGGGGCGGCCGCGCCAGGCCCCGGGTCGCGTCCCCGCGGGGAGCCCGCCGTGCCCCGTGCCCGGAGCGGCCGCGGGTCCCCGGGGACGGCCCGGCTGGCGGAGCGCGCCCGGGGCGGCGGGGAGGTGCGGCGGGGAGCCGGGGCTGGACCCGCGCGTCCCCCGCGCGCCGCAGCTCCGGGGCTTGTCCGTGCGCTCGTGCAGGCAGAGCGGGAATTTCGAGTCTGGTGACCGAGACGCGGAGGTGCACCTGCCGCGGATAGGGGCTCCCCGTGTGTGATACTGGGGAAACGTGGGAATCCCGAAGGGGCAGTGGAGAAGGTAGTCATCCTGCCCGCAGCCTCTTACCTATAGCTGTGCTACTTTCTGCTGCTGCGAAGACCACCTGTTTTCTTAACAGTAACGTTTTCCACTTCTCTTTAAAAAACTCTTTTGGTATTTCCCTCTGGCCATTCAGTCCGTCATGTGAGTCCCATATATTGTTTAGCCATTCCCCTAACGTGGAAAAAGCTAGTTTTTTTTCTTTCTTTCTTTCAGTTCTTCTCTGATTTTAGTATTGCAACAGAAGTAAAGTTATTAGATTCCATACTACGTAATCTGATAAGGTGCTTCTTGGTTCTCCATGCACGTTGCTAACTTGTCCGCAAAAAAAATTTTAATAGCTTATAGTTTAATAGTTTTATCTTTTAGTAGTTTATGTCATTCTAATATAACTGGGTCACCAGCTCGTAATGTATTTCTAACCTATCCACCTGCCAGGCGTCTCATTGTGATTTGTGGTATAGTTGTGCTAGCTTGAACTTTGTGCAGCAGCCTTCAAAAGTTGTGTGTGTGTGTGTGTGTGTGTGTGTGTGTGTACGTGCACCTGTGTGTTTTGGGGAGTTACTGCTGAGACTAACTGACCCTCCATGGCCCTCTAGCGTAATTCGCTTATTTTGCAGAGGAGAATCCCGCCAGGAGAGGTGTGAGATGCGTTGTCCCGGTCACAGCTCATTAGGCAACAGAACTGGGATTAGAACTCGGTTTTACCAGCTCTTGAGCACCCTTCCCACGGCATGGGACAGCCTTCCGCTGAACTGTGGCACGCTCGATACTGCAATGTATCACCTGCATTTTGTCCTTGTGCCCAGTGATTGTTAGTTTTATTAATTGTTGGGGATAGTGAAAGCCCTGATAAGTGGAAAAGTTGCCATTTTCGAAGCTGGAATAGAAGTGTTATTTAGGCTGGCCACACCTTCAAGGTCTTGATTGTTGTTTTCAGATTCTGTGTATCTAGGAATAACATACCCCCCGTAAGGTGAAAGTTATACTTCATCATCTGAAGAGTGAACTGTTTTTCATTTGCCACACCTGGAAAATTTCTTTAAAATTCCGGTTTCGAAGACTGAAGAATGAAGTTGTTTTTTTTTTTTTTTTTTTAATTTGGGGGCTTTATTGGAGGGTTTCTCAGGCTCAGTGAACATTTGAAACTGGCCGAGCTATTGCAGTGGGGGCTGCCCTGTGCATTGCATTGTGGGGTGTTTCTGGCAGGCGGTCCCCCCAGCACCAGCTGTAGTAACCCCCTCTATCAGACACTTCCGGACATCCTGATACAAGCCCACGGGAGGAGCTTCATGAAATAGAAGCTGCATTGATTCCTGGCCCGAGGATGCCTAAGGAATCTGCATTTTCAACAAGAGTTTCTGTAGATTCTGCTGCTCTTCCTTCTAAAGAAACTTGAACTATTTGTTCTCTCCCATTTTTCTCTTATTTGGTGGGCAATAGTAGAGGTGTTACTAAGTTAATAGCTATTGAAGCTACAGTGACATACTAGTCACTGTCCCCATTACTGGGGCTAGTAGGACAGGGGTTCTCCTTGGCACTGGTCTTGGAGCAGTGTGCTTAGGTACCAAGGCCATGCTGCGGCCCAGGAAACTCCGAGCAGACTGTGGAAGACAAGTCAGCCGGCGGCAGTTACAGCCTGATCAGGGCTGCACCGGGGTGCTGTGAGCAGACTGTGTGGCCCTTGCCAGCAGCCCCTGTGGACAACCTTCTGAGGAAAGCCAGGCACGCTGGACAGGGAGTGCTTAAGGGAGCAGTTCTCACGTGGTGTGCAGGCCCTCTTCAGACGTGGGCATGCCAGTCCCACCCTGCACTTCCTTGGGATGTGACGGGAAGTTGCCTCGCAGTGGGTTTGAACACTCTAGGACTAGGGAAAGGCACACTGGTAACCTTTGCCAAGAAGTAAGGATTCTTCATGACTTGTGTCTAGTGCAACTCAGAATCACACTGGATGTTTCTTGCTGTTGGCCTGGTTGACCAAATTCTCCCTTAGTGCTATGTCTGACCAGCTCAGTCGCCTCTGGCTGTCTCATCCCCAGGTGTAACAGAATGGCCCGGGCGCAGTCAGAAGGGCCGCTGCGTACACCTCTGGAAGGGCTGGGGCCTTGGGGTGCGCCTTACTCCTGCCTTCCACCCCACAGGCTTTCTGTGTGACTTACTCCTGACTCTACATGAGTAGAGTTCGGTGCCTGTTTTGTTCATTCTTTTACCAGGACAACACATAAACAAACAACAACAAAAAAAACCCTGTAGGGTAGCTTGCAGACCCCCTAGTAACTTCTGATGGGAGATGCACTGCCTTTACCCCCATAGCATTTATGAAAATAGGTGCTTTAAAACAAGGCTGCACAGGCACTGGGGGAGGTCGAGGCATGGGCAGTGATGCTGGCTTTCATGTCGAAGGGGGACATGTTAGCAAGGTCACCCTGCGGAAGGAAGAGGCTTTTCTCCTTATGTGTCCGTGGTCCAAAAGCCTTATCTCTTGCTTCAGAAATTGTCAAAACTGTTCCTTCTGCCTTTTCCAATTTAAAAGATGAAAACTTAAAATTACTTGAGCCAAGTGATAGGAAAAATTGTGGTGTCAAGACCAATTTACTCATACAAAATGGATTTATGGGCAAGTCATTAAGTAACACGGAGTACCAAGGAAGCCTAATGAAGACTAATGTAAAAGATACGGCGCTCCCAAAGCACTGTGTAAAATGTGTTTGAGGCAACCGTGGTGCATCCAAATAGCTTCAACTTTTTTTTCCACCAAGAGATTCTAGCAGATTGCAGGTGTCCTGGAGGACAAAGGAGAAGCTTGTTGGTGCTTTGTCTTTTCATGTGACTTCACTGTTTTTTCCAGCTAGAAAAGCTCCATGTAAAAGAGTAAGCCTATAAAAGAGCTTCAGTTGTAACAGGTTGTTTCAGCTTCAACCAGGTGCTACACCGCTGGTCTGGTCAGGTCCGTAGAACTAAGTGGCAGGGCTTCTCTGCACTTAGCTCCCCAAAGCAGAACACAGAACTCAGGGAAGTTCCTGTTTCAACACCCTTCCTCTTCCTCACACCCCCAGCTCCCAGTTACTGACAACAGTGCTTGTCAGAATTTGTTGGCAAAATCTCCTAGGGTAATGTAGATGGATTCCTGGGTCCTACTCTGGAATCAGGGACTAGAATCTCCACGTGGCTCAGGTCTGGAAAAGTGACCTAGAAGCTGAGCCTGTGCTCTGGGTCACAGTGCCCTGGTGCCCCTGCACAGCTTGTTCTCTTGCTTGTGTGGGTAGCTCTGACCTTCAGTTCCAGGCACACAGGCCCTTCGTTTCTCTGGATTCAGCTGGTGGGCTGGTTTTCCTTCCAGCGTGGCTCGGGTGGCTTCTTCTCTAGAAACCCTCCTTTGATCTGCCATGCCTGGGCTAAACAAGTCTTCTTGTGCTTGTCTCTGTACGGAGTTGGGTGCAAATGAATAGAGCATTTGTGAGCTTCTCCGTTCTCATCTTTTTAAAGCTCACTGGAGTGTACACTCTGAAAGCTGTGCCTTCTGTGTTCAGCCCCAGCCCTGTGTGCCTGACTCTTGGCAGGTGCCCGTGTGTGATGTGTTGACTGCCTTCACAAGGGATTGATGGAATAAAGATGAGACTTAATCGAAGCATTATCTGTTGGTGAATCCAGCAAAACTTACTTGTGCTTTTTAAAAAGGTGCGGAAGGTTAACACCATCTTGAAAATACCTTACACTGTCAAACGGCTCACAGACTGGGTTGATACTCTTATTCTGTCACTGGCTTTTAACTCTTCCAGTTTTCTCCTTTTCCATGCTAAACCAGTAACTGAAATAGTTCATGATTTCTCTGAACTGGGTTTGCACATCCCAGTACATTGTAATGATTGCCTAACACAAACAGCTAGTCTTATCTCAGTTTTGTATTTGAAGAAACTGGCATAATGTGATATGACCGTTAAGGAAATATTCTAAAACGCAGGAGTCAAGTCTCTGTCGTCCCTGCAAAGTTAACAGTCTCCCTAAAAGTGTCTGACCACAAACCAGCATGTGTTTCAGACATAAATAAGGTGAATAGGAAGATTTGTTTTTACTGAACTCATGAAAGGTATTGAATCTGTTACAGTGTTTACCTTGTAATTTGTCTTTTTGCTTAAAAACAACATGAATTGCCCTATGGCCTTGGGTGTGGATTATTAGTAGTTCTGAATCATTGTAATTTTAGACATCTGTTGAGACTGTAGAACTAAAAAAATACCAGTACAGTGGAAAAATTAAATTTGCTGAGCGAAATAACCAGTTGGCCACATTTTACAAAATCTTTCAAGCCTTATGGATAAAAGGATATGTATAGTTCAAATGAGAGCTTCTCTGTTTTTCATTTTATTTAAAGGATGTTGACTTTTCTTTAAAAAATTATACTGCAATTATGATCACTTTTATTTATTCATGTCCCTTAAAGATGACTTCAGATTTTCCTTATGGAAGCCGTGGTCCTTAGACGGCTGCTTGCTGTGTAGCATTTAATTTTGAATTTTCTTGGTCACCACGCATGTGCGTCTTTATTGAACAAACAGAAAGGCAGTAACCTAGCACATATCCACTTTGAGAATATCACCAAGCAATGGTATTAAACCTGAAGGGAGAAGATTGAGTGCATGTGTTTGGAAACCAATAAGCAGTGGTTGTTCAGTGGAAAGATATTCAGTGAACATTTTGATTAAGTACAACCAACTTTAAGAGTCCTGAAAAGAGTGTATCCATATTAATGTTTAAATCTTGGGCTGTATTGCTTCTATGTAAGAAAGACTTACTTGAAATGAAGAGTTAACAAAGAGAGGCCTTGTAAGTGCTAATTTTCTCCCCAAAGAGCTGCAACAGCCAGGGCGAGAACAAACTAAAGTCAAGAGCTTCATCTGTGTCTCCCATGTGGATGGCAGGGCCCAAACACGTGGGGCATCTTCTGACGTTTTTCTGAGGCCATTAGCTGGGAGCTGGGTTGAAGTGGAGAAGCCAGACTGGAACTTGTACGCATATGGGATGCCAGCATTGCAAGGGGTGGTTTTGTCAGGTCTGCCACAGTGCCAGGCCCTGGGTCACTCTTCACATGCCCATGGTGACAGAGAATATACAGGGCCAAAGCCAAGAACTCGGTTCCCACATGGGTGGCAGAAATGCAGCCTCCTGAGTCATCAGCACAGCTTCCCAAGACCTGCATTAACAAAAAGTTGGAGTCAGGAGCTGGAATGGGCTGTTGAACCCAGACGCTCATACTTGGGATGTATGCATCCTAAACCACATCTTAATCTCTAGGCCAAATACCCACCCCTTACCATGAGTTTTAGACCCAGAGTTGTGTAACAGTTTTGAAGGAATGATGAACAGTTTTGCATGTCTGATATGACTAGTACGAGCATGGGATTCCATGTATTTCAGATTCCTATTATATTTGAATTGCAAGACTTCTTTCAAATTATTTTTAGAGTACATATTTGCAATAATCATAATCAAGTAATCAGAATCTGGGTACATTGGCAACTTTCAGAAGACTATTTAATGTTGTACTTTAGAGCATGGGCTGGCTGTCTACTTGCCAGCCATGTTAACTTGAATAAGATATGTTGCTTCTTGTGTCTTGTCATCTGTAAGCTGAGGGTAAAAATAGTACCTACCTTATAGCACTGTGAGGTTTAAGCGGGGGTAATGTGCTTGGAAAGGTGCTAGTATTGTGTGGACACGAGTGGCAGCTCCCAAGTGCAGCTACAGTTGTTTGGAGATCTGAATGTACCTGCTCTACCCAGTATAACCCATGTAGTATTTCCGATTTAAGTTTGGCAGTTTCACCAGATTTTGGTTTCATCACAGTTTAGGACAAATTACTTAATCTCTTTGTGTCTTTATTTTTTTTTTTTTCAGCATAATGGGGATCTTAAGACTTTGTCTCCAGGGTTCCCATAAATAGTAAATTTGGTAGTGTTTATAAAGAGAAGAATGCTCAGCGTTGGGTGGAAGTGGCAGTGGTTGTAAAGGATGTAATAATATGTGAGGCCGTGGTGACAAGTGACAAGAGTTGGTGCTCTGTAAACAGCTCTTTCTAATGAGACAAGTCACTGGGTTTGTTGGGTCTGGGTTGGGTGGGAGTGGCGGGGCTGTGTGATGCCTGTAAATGCTTGGTTAACGGCTCAGTACTGAAAACATGTTAGCTGTCCTGTAGTGAGTTTTCATACATGACACTTTGATACTTGATTTCCTGGAACCATGTTAGAACCTTCCAGGGCTTCTCTTGAGTATGTAACTTTGGTCTTACATGTGTCCCTCCCATTTTCATTTCTGTTCAGGAGAGTTAAAATGAGTCTGCGCAAGCAAACCCCTAGTGACTTCTTAAAGCAAATCATCGGACGACCAGTTGTGGTAAAATTAAATTCTGGAGTGGATTATCGAGGTAATATTTTCATGTTTCATCCTCACTAGTGTAACTAAATAAGTAAATGTGGCTTACTGATTTTTATTAACCTCTTAAATATACCCAGTGGACCAGAAAAGCACCAACATCGACAGTTTTTTTTGCCTAGTTATTTTTCTATCTCTCAGATGCTTCCTTTTTAAAAATAATTTTTATTTATTTTTACTTGAAAGAATGAGAGAGACACAGATAGAGATTATCTGGTGGCTTACTCCCTAGATGCCTGCACCAGTTAGGTTCTTAGCTGAAGCCAGGAGCATGGAACTCAGTCTGTGTCTTCACTACATGGTGGCCAGGACTCAAACCCAGCCATCCCAAGCTGCTTTCTGATTGGCTGTGCACCCAGCAGTGGTTCCTTATAGAGGGACAACTGTGGAAGCAGAGTGTGTAACTGCTCTCTCGTGTCTCAGCTTTGAGATTGGATGTATCTGGTTCTTTGGGAATCGCCAGGAGAATTGCAGTCAACTCAGGCTTGAAAACATGGTTACTGAAGAGCACTTTGGTATAGTGGCATTTGTTTTTGTTTAAGTATTCAAGATTGGCAAGCAACTATTTTGAAATATTAATATAACATTAATCCACAGTTGCTTTTTGGTTCTTATGGAGAATGCTCTTTTAAAGAGCTTGTGATATTTCTGTAGTTACTGGAAGGAAGGTTTTGAAATTGCATGTCAGGGTTTGCCACTGTAGTTAGAGCAGCTAAAACTGAGCACCAGTTTGAGTTCCTCCTCCCCCACTTCTAATCCAGCTCCCTGTTGCTGTGCCTAGGAAGGCAGTGAAAGCTCACCCACACGTGAGATACCTGGGCAGACTTCCTGGTTCCCAACTTCAGCATGAACCAATCTTGGCTGATACTGCCATTTGGGGAGTAAATCAATGTATGGGAGATCTCTATCTACCTTTCAAACGAGTGAATAAATTTCTAAAAAAAAAGAAAAAATGCACCCTTTTTTTAGTGTGTGGGAGACAAAGAGCCACCCCCGACTGGTTCACTCCTCAGGTGTCCACAACAATTAGGACTGTGCCAGGATCAAGCTGGGAGCTGGGAAAGGCAGTCCAGCTGTCCGTAGGGTTGGCAGAGACTCAGTTCATGATGCTCTCCAAAGGGAGTCAGGAGATGGAACTGGGATCCAGCGCTGGTGTTCCAGTAAGGATACAGACCTGCCCGCATTCTGTGGGATGTGTGTGTGTTTTACTGAATTCCTGCTGCTTCAAATTAAGATTAAATTACCTAGAAAATGTCATCAATAAAAAGACCGAACTCGCTTTGGGGTGTCTATTTTTTGGTTTTTTCTGAGCTGTGACAGCTTTTCCCATGTATACAGTCCTAACTATTGAGGGCTTATTTACTCTGTGATCAATATGTGTCTTCACATAAAGCCTGCAAAGTCTTTGCTCGGTTGTCCCCCGTAGTAAGGGGTGTTCTAGAATTCAGACTCAGGCTTAAGAGGTCACTGGGCCATTTTTATGGAGTGATTTAATTTCCTAACATTAATCACGTATTCAGTTTTTTAACATCAAACCAGTTTATTTTGACTTTTACAGTTAGACTAATGGATTCATTATGAATACTGAGATGAACTTGGGTTTTGCCGCTTAACCATGAACTTCTAGGACTTGAGAGTGCTTCACAGTTAATTAGGATGGGATGTCATGTTCATTATGGTCTCAGGACCCACTTTTTGAGGAGTTCAATCAGCATGCTCTTTTGGTCTGAATTCTTTAGAGGAAATGTGCTTTGTATTAAGGTGGTACATGCTTCAGCTTGGCTTTCTATTTAGGAATTTTAAAAGCAAACAATAGAGGAAAAAGTGTGAGTTGATTTTGCTGCCAAAAGCTTTGAAATCCACCCATCAATTTTTCGTAGTATGCATTTCCCACGTATTGGAAAAAAATTTTTCCACAACAAAATAAACTCTTTTTTTGAAGTACCTATGCTAAAGGAAAAATTTAGTTCTATGACAAGCCAGAGATTTCTAATGGTCGCATTAGAATCCTGTGTATGGAAGGACCATGTTTTTTGTTTTTTTGTTTTGTTTTGTTTTGTTTTGTTTTGTTTTTACCAATTTCCAGTTAGTGGGCACTTAGACATTTGCCAGTTTGGGCTGTAAGGAATAACTCTTTTGCACATCTGTCTTGAGCGCTTTTCCTAGGATCTCTGTTGGAGGGAGTTCCTTGGGGTAGGCCTGAGTCATTGGGACCAAGTGGCCTTCCACCAGGACACAGGCGTGCCATTCCTGAGTTCCCACCCCCCATAGATGTGCTCTCATTCATCTTTCCTGATGTAATTGACAACAAGCAGTGTCCTGTTTCTGTTTTATGTTTTCTTTGTTTACTCAGGAGATGAAGCAACTGTTCACACCTTCGAAAGGGTGTGCTAATATGACGGTTAAATAGTGTTTTTAAAGCTTGCAGTTCTCATACCAGTTTCTCTTTAGATTTAAAGAAAACCTTTTGTTTTCTGTAAACTATAGTGTATCTCCACGGGAAGGGAGAAGGGTGGAATTCGAACCCTGACAGATTGGTTGCCTTTAAGCCTTTACTGTAACAATAGACATTAGCAGTCTATTTTGTTTTAATTAATCTTCAGGCATATTTGCACACCATGTCTTAAAGGTTTCTTGCTCATTTCTGATTGTGGCTTAGGTGTAAAAGAAGACAGCAGGAAGCAAACACAACTTGTATTTTGAGCTTTCTTTTGCTAAGAAATAGTTGTTACACACTGTTCACAGTGTATTCTGGTTTTTTGAAAGTTTATAGCTTCCAGCAGAATTCTGTTAGATGAATGTCTAGTGCTGTCGTTCCACACACACAGTTTTGAAAAGAACCTTTTTTGTTTAGAGGATAATGGGGGTAGAGGCAGAGAGTGGGGAGCATATTAATGAAGTTAAGATAAATGAAACGATTGACTTGGCTAATCAAATCAGATCTGTGCTTGTTTTTATTTTTTTTCCCCCTTCTAGAAAATGCCACTTTAGAGACTAAGTGTTACAAGCTTGCAGATTTTTGTCTTTTGAAAAAAAAAATCATAGGGTCAAATTTTTGCAGAATTTATACAAACATAACACAATTAGAAAGATTTGCACAAACTGTTTCTTTGAAAGCTCCCCAGACGGGTTTTCGCCACTGGCGTCTCCATTAGTTTTGATTTGGAGTTATTTTAATTGTAGTAACACCGAATGGGATGTGTTAGGATGCAATATGTTGCCTTGCATTCTCAAGCTGCTTTTCCCTCTGAGTCGCAGTTTTAAGATGTTCCTTCAGGAGCACCTGCTGCCTCCTCTTCTATTATTTTAACAGATTGTGGAGACTTCTACTTAACCCTGGAGTACATTCATCTGCTGCAGTAGATATTGTGAAATAGTGAAATCTACCTGTCAGACCCTATTTCACTTGGTGGCTAAAGTGAGAAGTGCCACAGGATCTGAGGATGATTTATTCATGCATAATTAATTGTCCACTCCTGTCCTTAGCCTTCAAAAAGTGCAATTTTAGTAAGCATATTCTTATTTGGTGACTTTGGTAAAGGTCTTCCGAGTTACCATGTGTGAACCTACATGCTGTGAGGGAAGGGATGGTTTGTTGTTTGTCCTGATGGTGGTGGGTGCCTATTTCTCACACCCTCCCCAACCTTTATTAGGTCCGCACAGGGTAAAGAATTATTTTTTGCTTAGGTCCAGTGGGTTTCATGTACAGTGTGAATTTTTACATTGAGCACCTAAAAGCTAATGAATAAAGGGGCTGTCAGCTCTATGATGTGCTCTGTAATTTTCAACTCTTAGATGCTTTGAATGTCTTCTTCTTCACCAAACCCATCTCCAGGGGTCCTGGCTTGCCTGGATGGCTACATGAATATAGCCCTGGAGCAGACAGAAGAATACGTCAATGGGCAGCTGAAGAATAAGTATGGGGATGCATTTATCCGAGGAAACAATGGTAATACTTCTTCCCCACACACCTGCACACCATCCCAAGGGAGCGTGTTTGTTGAGAACCAACACCACCTATTTGAATGTTTTATTTGTAGCTTTAAATACTCGTAGCAGTGCTTTATTTGTATGTTTCTAAGAATTACAAAACTAGAAATTCTCTCCTTCCCACCCTGTCTCTGCAAGGGCATACTGACCCACATCCCTCTCTCTTGAATCTACTCTTTTAGTCTTCTACCACATAATCTTCCTCTCACAGTCTGAAATTGGAACTGTAAGAATAAGCACCATCTCTGTGATGTCGTTGGTTCCCTAGTCAGTTCTGTTCCTTCTGTGTTAAATGTTTACGTGCCTTTGTGGAGATCTGTATCCCTTAGCTTGGCCAACATGGCACAATCAGAACCGTGTTCTGAAGTTATTTGAATTTTTTAACAGCTAATATATTGCTGTCTTTATTGTGGATTTTTTTTTTTTTCCTTTTTATTTGGAAAGTCAGATATACAGAGAGGAGGAGAGACAGAAAGATCTGTCCATTGATTCACTCTCCAAGTGGCTGCAATGACAGGAGCTGAGCCTATCCGAAGCCAGGATCCCAAAGCCTGTTCCAGGTCTCCCATGCGGGTACAAGGTCCCAATGCTTTGGGCCGTCAACTGTTTTTCCAAGCCATAAGCAGGGAGCTGGATGGGAAGCAGGGCGGCTGGGATTAGAACCAGCGACCATATGGGATTCTGGTGCATGCAAGGTAAGGACTTCAGCTGCTGGGACTTCAGCCAGGCCCTATTTTGGATATTTTTAAGTACTTGGTTTTAAAATCTAGATTATCAGTCAAGTTATGTGAATTTTGGGCAGGAATAGAAAATGCTAAAATTAGGAGGATTATTCCTGGACTGAGCCCCACTTTTTGATCCCCTGAATGGAACTCTGAGATTCTTGAATTCAAATTTTCTGTTGATTTCTTCATGTCTGCTTTTAGCTTGCCTAACAGCCGGATCCCTTCACTGTGAAATAAACATCCTGAATTTTATATTGGATAGTCTATCTTCTGTTTTTATAGCATCACATTTCTTCATAGCATAGTGCATGTATGTTTTGGTTGCTTTTTAGTACTTCTAATGTGTAGAATTTCTTCTCCTACTTTCCATATTGCTCTTGACTTTTTCCTTTTCCTGGGAAATGTTATGGTCTTGCCCTCCTCTCCAGACTGTTGAGAGGAGGTAAGACAGCAGTCAAGGCCAAGTTCTGGGAATAGTGAGGGGCAGTGCACCTGCAGCCTCGTCCAGTTCCTCCTGGACTAGTCGTAGTTTATTCTGTGGTGTAATTAGCAACACTTACCTTTCGCCTCCCAGTTTTCATCTGACTGGATTGGCCTGTGCTGCCTTCTGTGAACGAGGCTCTCAGAGAGGTACATAGGGAGTGAGCCAGCCTTTTCTTCTGCTTATACTCACATGTGCCCTGTAGTTTGGATAATGTCCAACGTTGAAATTCTAGCAGGGAACTCAGACGAAGAACATGGATATCTCAGAAACAGAACACCTCAGCTCCCATGTATTCTCTTTCAGTTAAAAACGTAAACAGCAAGTTTAGCATTTATATTGAGAAGATGGATGGAAATATTTATTCTTCATGTGAAATCTAGCCTGGGAGATTTACTGATTCACATTCCTCAAAGTGCAGTTACTAAGCTGCTCATTGTAAAGCGTTCTCACATTCCAGGGACTTCCAGGAAGCTTTTTTTTGTGATCACAGTTTACAGATTCAGTCTGGTACCTAGACAAGGTTGAGGCCGTGTTGCATCACATGCAGGTCTAAAGTCAGAGAATTGGTGTTACAGTTGTTCTGGAATTGGTTCATTATATGATATAGAAAGTTCGTTCAAATTTGCAGAAATGGAAACCCCAAAGCCTATTTGCTTTTTAAACTTGCTCCTTGGAGTCTTAGGAGCAGGTTTGATTTTCAGCTTGTTTTGTCTTTGTTTTTTCAGTGTTGTACATAAGTACGCAGAAGAGAAGAATGTGAAGAAACATGGAAAGCAGTCCTTCCAGAGCAGGATGTGTGTTTCACGAAGTCTCTTTTTGGTTTGTTTTATTTTTTTAACTCTTTAAAAAGATATCATTTCTGCTTTTTTGTGATGTCATTTGTCCTGGTTTCATAATAGTGATTTTTCAATGACATGCAAGCAAGATACATGTATAAAACTGTGGAATTAATTGTGAAAAGTTCTTTCCAATTTAAGTTTCAGTCATTTTCTTTTACTTCGATTGCAACGTCCAGAGTGCTAAATGGATTAAAAAAAAAGCAGTCTCATTTGATTAATTTGCAGTGCCTGTTAAGCTGGGCTCCATTGGGTGGAAGTGTTCTGAAGGCCCCAGGTTCAGTGGGATGCCGTAGAAAGCAGCCCCAACACCCAGCTCCTGCTTCTGTCACCCAGCGAGAAAACAGCATCAGCCATGTGACAGTGCCACTGCCACCAAAGAAATAGGCCTGCCAGGATGGCAGGGGCACCTCAGAAGATGGCCTTGGCTGGGTTGAGGTCAGCAGTGAGCTCCTTACGTTCGCTCCCCTCTCTCCCTCCCAGCTACCCTGGCATCAGCGTCCCTCCCTCAGCTGTCACACACCATACAACAGGAGCCATTCTGTGCACACTGGCTGGCAGTGCGATTCCAGCAAAGCCTGGAGTTTCTGAACCTACCCAGGCTCCAGTTGCTAAGCTATGGCTGGGAAGGAATGTCTCCTCTCTGCCTAGCAGCTGGCTCAGGGAATCCCTTCTCTCTAGCCTGTGTTGGAGCTGTGTTGGCGGGTACACTGTCCCGAGCACTGCACCAGGCTTTCGGGGTGCTGTGCACAGGGCAGCCCCTTCGGGCTCTGTGACTCCTGCTGTGAGGGCTCTCGGGGTTTATGAATGAGCTTCCCACAGCCCAGCTCCATTCTCTGAGCACTTTGACGCTGGCATGAGGAACAGCAAATAGATCCTGGGTACTGGAGCTGAATGAACAGTGGACAATTGTGTGAACGTCCTGTGGCCTTCGTCCTCCCTCCCTCCCCAATCCAAACAATTCCCGTGGAAGAAGCCAACAGCAGCAGTGGGATATGGAACAATGGCCCGGTGGGAGGAATGTGGGGAGGGAGACAGGGAAGGTGTGGGTGCTGAATGTGTCCGGTTTCATCTTGCTTTTCTTCAAAAGATCAGAGAGTAATTGGAAACAGTTATTTTTTAATTAGTAACTCGGGAAAGGTGAACAGCAACATTTCACAAGGTTTTGCTGTGTGCACACGGAAAATACAACACTTTATGCTATGCTTAAATAATTTATCACTTCTCGACAGGGGCTTGAAAAGGGCCCAAGCGGTAAGTACAAATCGCCAATTTGCTCTTTTATAAATGACTTCTCTTAGGGAGAAAATGGATGTCCTCCTAGTGGAGCATACATGTGCTCATTTGTTTTGTAGAATATGTGTGGCTGCCAGGTTACCGTGTCCTTTCACTCTCTCACATCAGCCACCTACAGAAGCAATTCCATGGTTATCTCCCACCAACCTGTAGCTTTCTATTTTTGCTAACTTCCTCTCTGACCCCATTGGTGTGCACGTCTTTATTTTCCCCTTGCCATCTCTCCAGTTTAATAGCTCTTCGGCAGACTAGTGTTTTCGACCATGGAACTCTTTCTAATCAGGATCGATTTTGGGAAATGCTACCATTTTTATGGTAATAAAGGACTGTATTATGCACTTGGACCAGCGTAAGTTGTCCCCTGTGCATCCACTTCTCATGGTAGAACTGTGAAACAAAGTGTAAATGCTAAAATTACTTATTCCTTAACTGTAGACTCCTAGAGGTCAGTGAGTGATTTCCAGTTGCTTTGTAGCAAAGACATTTATACTATGTTGAAGAATTTTGCACTTGGGTAAGTATACTTTCCCTGTAGCTGTTCCCCACCCCCAAACCCTGGCTGCCCCACTCTTCTCTTGGGCTGTGGCAAAATAGAATGTTTAGGGAGAAACAGATTTGTGCTTGATTGTTAGACTGTCTGACATCACATTCTGTTTCGGTCTTTGAGCTAGTCTTTGGCTAATCCTCCAACAAATTGAATTGATTCTTACTTTGAAACTGTTTGTCCCCAAACAGAGCTGTTGACAAGTACAAATACAGATGGCAGAAATGTGGTAAGATTCTCATCTCAGCATCCAGAAAGGAAATGTTATTGAGAGATGGTTTATATCTTAAGCTTTGCATTCAAGGCAGTATGGATGGAATGCATGCTAGGAGTGCTTAATTATGTGACAAATAGCAGCAAATGCTTCACAGATTTCCCTAAGACCTAAAACAGGGCAGCATGCTAGACTTGCTGCAGAAAGGTTACAACCCAGAGGCTACAATGGTCTCTAAGAATAACAGCACCCTCTGGGGGGTGACTCATGAGTAACCTCAATCCAGCAGTCTGGGCAGAAGGTCCCATCTGTGCTTCCACCTATTGTGGCCCTGACCTTTGTCCTCAGAGCAAATGAGCCGGGACTGTGGTCTCACTCTTCTTCGTGGACAGACTGCACTAATCACTAATCCATGAAAAGCAATTGCTGATGAGAGGAAGACAAAGGCAGTTTTTGTTGGTCTCCCTTCTCCACAATCCTAGCCCCAGCCATGCTTGCCTATTTGGTAGACTGTGCTTAGCAGCTCACCTTTGACTGCCTGCATCCAGGTTGCCCCAGTCACAGTGGAGCTAGACTGCCCGTGAGAGTTGGAGTCATGGGTCTGCCGTGATGGTACAAGGGTGGCATCCCACATGGGTTCCTGTCCCAGCTGTTCCACTTTCCTTCCAGCTCCCTGTTTATGGCCTGGGAAAGCTGCTGAGGACATTCCAAAGTCTTGGTACCCTGCACCTGCCTGGGAGACTTGGCAAAAGCTCGTGGCTCCCAGCTTTGGATTGGCTCAGCTTCAGCCATTGCGGACATGGGAGGAGTGAACTAGTGGGTGGAAGATTTTTGTCTTTCCATAAATCTACCTTTCTAGTAAAAATAAATGAATCTTAAAAAAGGGAAAAAAAAGTTGGAGTCAAGACATCTTGGCTCTGCATATCCAGCTATACTTTTAACTCCAACTAATACTACCTGTCTGCCGATACATGGCAATGCAGCTGGATGTCTCTGCTGTTGACTGACTGGCTTTGACGTGTTGTTGGAGAGTCTGCTTAGCCAGCACGTGTGCGAGACTATAAGAGAATTTACAAAGTGTAGAAAAATTGATTTGAAAAGATGTTTTGGTGCCAAGAATCTTGAAATCTGTGGTGGGTTCAACAAACTCTTAGGCCAATTGTTTGGATCAAAGAGCAGTGTATCCAGTATTCCCAATCACTGTTCACAGTTAATACCAAATCAGTCTTAACAGAATTTACAGTAGTGATGGAATTCAGTAATTGCACTTTTGAAAATTGTTCGTTACCTTCCATTCTTTCACAAGGCTGTTTGTTTTACTGTTGTTGAGTTTTGATTGATCTTTGTGAGTCCTAGTAGTCCCCTATCTGTTGTGTTCTGTACAAAAATTTTCTCCCATTCTATTGGTTGCTTCTTCACTTTGTTGATCATTTCTTTTATGTTCAGAAGCTTATTAACTTGATATAGTCTCATTTATTTATTTTGGCTTCGACAGCCTGTGTCTTTGGTAACTTCTAAGAAGTCTTTGCCTGCGCCTGTATCTTGTAGAGTGCTTACTATATCTTCCTCTAATGAATGGTTTCTGTGTGTAGATTTAGGTCCTTGATTAACTTAGAGCTGTTTTTTTTTTATAAGGTGATAGGTAGTGATCTTGCCTCCTGCTGCTTCTTCAGGCTGCTGTCCAATTGTCCCAACAGCTTTTGTTGAAGAGACCAAGCTTTTTCCCCAAATTGTTTTCAATTTTCTTGTCAAAGTTAGTTGGTTGTACATGTGTGGGCTCCCTTCTGGGGTTTCTGTTCTGTTCCATTGATCTTCTCTGTTTCTGTACCTGCACCAGATTGTTTGATGACCACTGCTCTGTAGTGTGTCTTAAATTGGGATTCCTTCAGTTTGATTGTTATTCTTCAGGATTGCTTTGGCTATTCTTAGTCTCTTGTGTTTCCAGATAAATTTTTGTATTTTTTCTATTTCTGAGAAGAATGCTCTTGGGATTTTGATTGGGATTGATTGAATATATTGCTTTCAGTAATATGGACATTTTGACGATGTTGATCCTTCCGACCCAGGAACATGGTAAATTTCTCCGTCTTTTAATCTCATTTTCTATTTTTTTTTTTTAAACGTTGAGGGTCTCTAGCTATCAGGGAAATTCAAATAAAATCCACATTGAGGTTCCATTTAGCTCCAGTTAGACTGACCTACATTCAGAGCTCAACCAACAAACCTACTGGCATGGATGTGGGGGAAAAGGTACTCAGCTTCACTGTTGTTGGAATGTATGCTAGTGCAGCCACTGTTGAAGTCAGTATGGAGAATGCTAAGACAATTAAAAATTGATCTACCTTATAACCCAGCTATCCCAGTTCTGGGAATATATCCAAAGAAATGAAATGTGCATACAAGAAAGTGATCTGTAATCCTATGTTTACAACAGCACAATATAGTAGCAAAGACATGGAAACAGCCCAGATGCTTGCAAAAGAGGAATGGATAAAGAAATCGTGGTCCATCTGTTCTGTGGAATACTACTCAGCCATTAAAAAGAATGAAATTACCATTTGCAACCAAATGGTCCCAAGTGGAGACGATTATGCTCAGTGAAATAAGCCAATCCCAAAAGGACATATCATATGTTCTCTCTTATATAAGGCAGCCTTCATGCAAAATACAAGATCAATAGATATATAGGTAAACGTGTACATATATACATTTATCAGAAGGAACTGTATAATAGAGGCAAGTTACCAAGAAGTGAATATAAAGTACAGAATGTATCTACTTTGAAAAGATGGAATGCCAGTGAAACTTAAATGCATCTTGACAAAGGATGCTGCACTTTCTACCATTGTCTGTACTTACAGTGTTATGATACACTTAAATAGAAGAATGATGGACTTGTGACTGTTTTAATAAATTTTAATAAATATAAAGGAAAACAATGGAGGGAAAATGGAAGGGGAAACCCCTGAGCCTAAGGACCAATATGAAAAATAAAAGTTAAAAATAATAATTATAACAAATAGTTGAGTGAATGTTAGCTAGGTCACAGAACAGCCTATTCCTATCCCATTCCCCGC